TAGTGAGTTTTGATTGTAAAACCCATGGTTAAGGCCAAAATATTTGTATAAAATTCATTTTTGAGTTTCAAAACTCATTCTTTTGGGTCTCAATTGATTTCCAAACTTTCGCATTACTTTTGAATTTGGGATTCCATTATAAAAGTTTTGAGAACTCTTTTTATGTAATTTTACAAACTTAGGTAATCCTTTGAAGGTTAATTTCTTGATTATACCTTGATTGTGAAGCATTATGTGGTTAAGTAAGGGAGACCTTATATTCACCACAGTCAATAATGCATTCACCGTGGTGAACCATGTTAAGGCTAATTTGATATACATAATAGTCAACATTCTATACATAAACGTTGGGCATAATTTGCTCAAAATTTTAAAGTCAGGGTCCAAGATGCTACTCATATAATAGTTTAAGATTTGTGGTGCTAACTAACTGGGACCTATGGTGAACAATAACTGGCATTAAAAAAGATAATGGTAGGTTTAATTTACTACAAATTTAAAAATATATAGTTTATTTTGCACATTTTAAGAGTTTAAGGTCCAAAGTGCTTTTCAAGTAAGAATTCAGGATCTATTTTGCTCATTAACCCATACAAAATTATGAACAATAAGTTTATCTCTACACTTTAATTGACGGTAGACAAGAAAAAAGCCAAAAGTAATAGAGACATTGATACTGAAAACATGAAAAAAGGACATGGTTGGAATTGATGAAATTTCATATAACTATGATATATATGAAATTTGAAATTATAAAAAAAATCTAGTAAAACATAGATCTGGTTTTGAATAATCTATACATTTTCTTGTATTCAAATGAAAAATTTGACTTAAATTCAAATCTCTATTAATTTTAACATAACATTAAAAAGATAAAAATATAAATTATGGGATCGGGATTGGGAGTAAGTTTTATAAAATTATATTTGGTATATTGATAAAATGTTTGAACAACTTTTTATTTGACATCAGTTTTTCACTTGGGTTTGGGTTAGTAATTTAGACCAACTCAAATGAATAAAAAATAATAATAAAATAAAACCAATTAAGCTTAGAAAAATGATACTTTTTTAGCATCGAACTTATTCATGATAATTTGAATAAGTCGGGAAAAATTCAGGCTAAACTTGTAGGGAAAGAATGAAGTTGGGATTCTTTCTTAATGGGTTTGTTCATCAATTTTATTGGCACATTGCTTCCTTTATTCCATAAAAAACAAACATTACTTTCTTGCAAATATGGAAGAATATTGATCAGCAAAGCTCGTGGTTTGGACTTCGAAGATCATTTCAGTATTTTACATGTATCACCAAGTGAAAAAAAAATGTAGTTTAACAACACAAAAGATATAGTTAAGTAATTATCGAATAACATTTGGCTCAAAAATATCAAAGTTTAGATTACAGAGTGTGATTAACATGACAACTGAATTGCGTGCACATGATATATAATAAAAACACTTATTATTTTATATTGCATGATCAGAGAAAATGGAACTGATCATGAATGGTAAATACTGTTGTCGTTAGAGCTTGCTTAATCATGTACAAATTGTAAGCCATGTTAAGATCCTCGTTTAAATGATAAATCAATGTTACATATCCTTCTCCCTCTATCCTGAATCGTGATTGATTGAAAAAAGAAAAAACGAAAGGAAAGGCATGCTGTATATTTTTTATAAACCAACGTTATATATCCTTCGCGAATCCTGATTGATTGAAAAAAAAGGAATAGTAAAACTTTCAGACCATCAAATTTGTCTTAGTTATTAATTTGATCCCTTAGTTCAATTTTTATCGTTTTGGTTCCTTGTGCTCTCGTAAATTATCATGTTAGTCTTTTAAATTTTAAAACATAACTTAAATCTCAAAATAATCTAGTAATTTGTAAAACATATTAAGGCCTTGACATCTATGTGTGTGTGTGTATTAATCATCAAATCATTTAATTTTTATCACTATAATTTTGCACATTGTGTTTTGTTCTCTTATTTTTTTACAATTTAAAGTTGTGTTTTTTTCATAACTAAGGAATTAAACTTTTTTTAATTAATCTGCATGGGCTGAATCAATATTCTGTTATTCATTTTATCAAATCTTAACAATGTTATCTCCTTTTTAAACAATAAGGACGACCTTGACAACTAAAGTAAATTTAAAAGACTAAATCGATAAAAATTAAATTTGAGTTAATAATTGAAATAGATTTGAGATACTAAAAGTTATGTCATAAAAAAAATCACACTATATATATAAAAACAGATTTGAGGTACTAAAAGTTATGTTATCAAGAAAAAAAACCACACTATATATATATATATATATATTTTATAACAAAAGATGCTCCATATATATATATATATATATATTCTGATTTGTGTGAATATATTATACATTGCGTAATTTTGAGTGAAAGTGGGAATATTATTAATATGAAAACTACACAGCATAAGATGCATCAAGAAACAAAAAAGATTAAACCAGTCACATCAGAGGCTTAAAAGTAGAAAAGACTTTAAGAGTTTGCATGGTTCACTAAGATCCTAATATTTACTAGAAAGGAATCAACATTGTAAGGTTCAACCGCAAAATTTCTGTGATTCCTTGCTCTCCATAATTTCCAGCATATGATGCTAGTTCCCACTTTTCAAGAGATGTCGAACTTTGCAGATCTGAGGAGATTGACTAACTAGAAATCCACATTCTCCTTGCAGAATTCAGTATACATATCGCCATGTAGGACTTTCTTTCATACAGAAGCAGCGAAAGAGCAATCCTTGAAAACTTGGTTAATATTCTTTGTCTTTACTTTTCTGTGCCCGGTTTTCATTTGGTTTGGGTTTTTAGTTGTTATTGTTTTTGTAACTACTAGTTAGACTGTACTGCTGGGCTCCCATGTTGTGTTTTGAGGGTCCATTTACTTTTGTAATCATTTTATAATTAATATATTGGCTTTTATTTAAAAAAGCATATATTATTGTATAATTCAGTTTTCAATTAAGCTGAGTTTAAATAAAATACTCAAAAAAATACTTGACGTCCAATTTTTAAAATAATAAAGTTTACTTTGTTTTCAAGACACTATCAATATTAATTAGTCTGATGAATATATACATGAATCACGTGGTGAGTGAGTGAAGAATATAACATTGTTACTTTCTTGAAGAATATAATATTGCTACTTTCTTTTGTTTTTTTTTAAACCAACAATGTTGCTACTTTCTTAAAGAACATAGTACTCTGTCAATGATTGATTGTCATGACAACATTGATGCAATGATCCCCCCACATGTCAAGCATTCTTTTTATTTTTTTTGGCCAAACACATGATGCAATGATCCCCCCACATGTCAAGCATTCTTTTTATTTTTCTTTGGCCAAACACATGTCAAATGTTTGAACCGCCAATATTGAAAAAGAAAATATAATATTGGTACTTTCTTGCAAAAAACAAAAAGAATGATGAGTAAAGGCATTAGGCTATATGATGTACAATACCATTATGTACAAAGCTATCTAATACTAGATAGCAGCATCTAACATATTATTTTAATTATTATTCAGATGTCTTACTATTTAAAACAATTATATATTAACATATTTGGATTTAACAAAAGGAATTAATCACATGACGAATCAAGATTTAAATTATTACTAAATGAGATATACACATTTAATAAAAAAGAGTATAATGAGCAAAGGTATTTAGCTATATTCTGAGTGATATATACTATTATCTATAAATTTATTTAATATCATATATATAATAGTATCTATAACATATTTTTTTTATTACTCATATACATCATTTTATTAAAAATAATCATATATTAATGAGTTTGAATTTAACAAAAGGGATTAGCCCCTTACAATATTATGAATTAAGGTTTAAATCATCACTTTGAAAGGTATTTACATTTAATGTTTGATTATATAACGAATCGAATTGCCTCAAAAAAAAAAAAATACTTGTATGTAAGGATGGATTAGGTGTCAACACCTATAAATGTTTAAATTATTTAAGGGCTCTGCAAATTAGTTATAAAAATTTTGTAGCAAAATCTTTCCCCAAAAAGGTAGAAGAAGAAAATTTGGCCCCCATGCATAAAATAATCTTGAATCTATCACTGACTGTGTGCAATAAAAAAAAAGCCATCATATTCACAATATGGTCTACAAAATGTATGGAATATAAATATTCGACCTTATAATTTTAAGAGAATTGAGTCTTTCCACTTAATTCAATATCATTTGTATTATTATCTACATTACAACACAAATAATCACATAAAACTCATGAACCCAACTATGCATATAAACTTAAAAGTTACCATGATGTTATGATTAAATTTTAAAAAAGAATTACACACGAAATAGTGTTATAAATAATAGTAATTATTTTATACTGCAGGGATAGTACAAATGAATTAAATAATCCAGTTTTAAATTATGCTAGTTCTTAATTTAAGAAAAAATATTACCATTTTTCCAGTACAAATAACTATCCACACGAAGGCATTATTGCCTAAATAAGAAAGCCATTGAGAGTTATTGGCCAAAAGAAAGAAAGAAAGAAAGAAAGCATGTGAGAGACTCCTTCGCAGTGCATATATAGCGTTGATCAGCATGAGTAGCGGTAGCGGCGTGCGTGTGGAAGAGAGGAAATAAATGGGAAAGAAGAGTAGTGAGGCAGAGATTGGTGTGTTCAGCGACACAATAAAGGAAGCTCAAAAGGCTTACTTGGATGAAGATTGGGAAACCTTTAAGAAAATATTCAAGGATCATGGCAAGAAAGATGATCTGCTCGAGAATTTTGACTTGTTCGAGAACACCCCCATTGGCGTCGTCGCAGTTAACAGTGACAATCCCAAACTCTTGATGGAGTTGCTGGAAATGCTATCTCAAGAAGAAAAGTGGGTTGCCTTGATAAAGCAGAACTGTCAAGGCAACACCCTTCTTCACAAAATCGTGTACTGAAAGAAACTGTCAACGGTGACGGAGATGGTGCACGTTGTGCTCGACTTCGAAGAGAAGATAGCATCAGCTCTGCCGTCGAAGAGGCCGAAATTGCTAGAGATGAAAAACTCAAGAGGCGAAACGCCACTGTTCAAGGCTGCCAAGAACGGCAACATGAAAGCGCTAGAGTATATGGCCAAACAAGCAGATGAAGACATGAATGTTCATCTTTATAGCGATGATGAAACTATTCTCCATGCTTGTATTAATGGGCAATATTTTAGTAAGTATATGTCAGCTCAAATCACAGTAGAGAGCCTTATTATTGATATATACTTGTCCTTCAGCACTGAGAGATATTCAATTATATTGCATGGGCTTGTGCAGATGTAGCTCTTTGGATAATCAATAACATGGATTGTAGTAGTCTAATTATGAAGCGTAATAAAAGTGACCTTACGTGCCTTCAGCTTCTAGCCAGAATGCCTGCTGCCTTTCGGGGCCAATACCAAATGGGATTCTTCACCAACCTCATCTATAAATGTAACTTCTCTCCCTCCCTCCCTCCTCATATCTTTATTTTCTTAATTTCTTTGCTGGCGTGACTTTATCAATAATTCTCACAACTCTATGTGTGTGTGTGTGTGTGTGAAAATGCAAATGGGGGATCATAATTTTTGACTTCGATGGATAGTGCTTCCTGAGGGGGGATGCCAAATTGAAGGTTGTGATGGTTTTAAGTTGTCTGGGTGCCTCAACGACTTGGAAAGTGGCCAAGATGCAAAGCCACCACCTTCAGGTACTTTAGTATCAATGAAAATTTATATTGAAGGACTTTTTTTGCCTAATTGCCAAGGATGTGGAGAATCCAAATCTTCATGTATAAGTTTTTTGCAACAAGAAGGCTTAAAAATTTATAACTTCTTAAATCTGTCGTTGCTGTTTTTGCAGCGTTTTCAAGGATAAACTCCACTGTTTGTAACAATCTAGCTAAAGGTGTGAATATTGTTCAAAAATCCACACACGCACACCCATTTGATCAAAATTCTGTACTTACATATGATAATTGAATTAATTAACTATGCTTGCTTGACCAAAATAAGGAAGCAGCTGTATCTGCTGGAATTGAGGATATATTGCAAAAAAGGAAGAAACATGAGTTAGCAAAGAGTCTGGTAGAGTTTCTGGTTAAGAAGGATGACTCGTGGCGGACCTGTTAGAATCATGGCTACAAATCGCAGGTTCTACTACCTCCTGCTCGTCTCAATGTCGTGAAAAAGAAAAAACAGCTGGAACGGAAAGAGAAGAGAGAAGAGCTTCAAGGTACTAAAGATTAAACTCACGATGATAATATATATAGAACACCATTGTTTGCAGCAGCTAGCATCGGGATTGAAGAAATAGTTGACTTGTACCTTAAAGTGCATCCGATGTCCATAAATTACATCAGTGAAGATGGCTAAAACATACTTCACATAACCGTTAAACACTGTCAACTCAACATCTTCAAATTGCTCAAGAAAAATCCACAATTTTCTTCCTTGTGTTCTCAAATTTCTTTTATCAATCGTACCGCGTTGCATGAAGTTGCCAAGATGGATTATTACAGAGGATTGTCCCAACCTGGTGTAGCATTCCAACTACAACACGAGCTCAAATGGTATAGAGTAAGTAATTAATTACCTTCCCTCTTTGGATTTAGACGTATTCATCGATCGTCAAGGAATTAAACCAATACTTTGTTGTGTGTGAGATGTGCAGCGAGTGGAAAAAATTATTCCTGTTCAACTACACTTGCATTGTGACGATGAGAAACTAACGGCTAGAGATGTTCTGGACATAGAGCACGATGACATGCTTGCAGACGCCCAACAATGGACACAGTAAACCACCCAGTCATGCTCCACGGTGGCGGTACTCGTGGCCACGGTGGTCTTCGCGGCGGCCTACACCATCCCGGGCGGGATTGAGGATGGCTCACTGGTGTTCCTTAGACCTCCGGTGTTCATATTCTTCACCGTCATGGACATCGTGGCGCTTGCCTTCTCCTTGGCTTCAGTGGTCATGTTTCTCTTCGTCCTCAATGCGCCTTTTGAGCTCTGGGATTTCCACAAGTCTCTGCCACAAAAACTGAGCATAGGGTTTGCTTTTTTGTTCTTGGCATTGGCTAGCACGATGCTTGAATTCAGTGCAACGATTTTGCTCACAATTAGGTTGCAGTGGAAGCAATGGACTTCAACTTTGGTGTATAGTGCTGCGTTCTTCCCTGTCACCATATTTGGCTTGATTGAATTCCTACATTATAAGAAGCTTCCGAGCCTGTTTCACAAGATATTTAAGAAGGCCATGAAGGTGATTAATCCAATCAGTCGAGCAGTTAGAAGAGTTAAGAAACCGAAGCACGCGCAAAAAAATCGAACGGTGCTTAAAGCAAATTAATTATTGTTGTTGTTATTCTTGTTGTTTGAAGGGGGTGTTTATTTGTGTGCTTTTCTGATCAATAAAGGAGTTTGTATATATATGTGCGCGCGCGCGAAGAAGCTTTGTGGCTTTTGTGTTATATTACTTGAGTTTGGATAAAACTTCTTGCTGGATATATTATTATCCAACGAGAAAATTCTAATGAATAAATAAGATTTTCTTGTGATTATTGCATGCTCCTAATTTGATTCCTTTATTTTTGTTTTGTTATGACCACACCTTTTAAGCGGAGATGATATTTTTTTTCTTTAGTCTAATTAAGGAGAGTCCGGAAAAAATACGCTTCGTTAAAAAAGTTTACATGCACTTTAATTAAGTGAAAGCCAAACGTTCTTATCAACAGGCCATCACAACTTTAATTTCCAAATTAAAGCCATAAATAAATTAAGAAACTGATTAATAATTAATATTTTTTAAAAAGTTGATTGACTAAATTTGAGGCATGTATTGGAATCACGAGCACATGGGCCTTAGCCAGCCCATCAAACATTCATATGCGAATGAACCTTCAGGCGCTGTCAACAAAAAAAAAAAAAAACACTTTAAATGGAAAATTTTTAAGAGGCTAATACTGAGATGAGTTTCTAACAATATTCAAATATTCAACATGTTTCATGCTTGAATTCTATCAACCATGAATTGAGAGTGTTATGGGGATCTAAAGTCGAAAACAGAAGGCATTTTCTTTTGAATTCTTTCCTTTTACTATTGCTTTTTGGAAGCAGCAAAGAACATATCCCAGCTAATATTTTTATAATATTAGACGACATACAATCGGTAAAAAAGCATAAAATAGAACATTGCAGGTCAGACGCACTTCTATTATAAGACTACTTATATGTTTTACAATTAATCCTCAAACATATATCCAACGTTAAAGTCCCAACATAGAACGGTTAGCAAACCCTTTATCCGTGTCTGTGGGTCATTTTTAGTGCTTTACAACTAATATGGAATTATATTCACTGGTTTTAGCAACATAATATTATTTGTTACTGTTATTTATATCATAACACAAGAAACTTATTAAATTTCTTATATTAAGTTTGTTTGAGAATAGTATATTCCTTAACATAACTTAAGTCATTTGGTTAAATATTTTTTAAGCTTATATATTTATGATCTATCATCTAATCTTTAAATGTGAGATTTTTTTTATGTTTTATATTCCCTCTACTATTTTTTAAGCTTATATATTTATTTCTTTAAATGTTTTTTGGTCTCTGATCAAATAGCTCTGATGCCATATTAGATTTTGTATATTAAGTTTGCTTGAGAATAATATACTCCAGCAAAATAGTTCAAGTCATTTGGTTGCATACTTTCTAAGTTTATATATTTGTAATTTATAATTTAATTTTTAAATGTGAGACTTCTTTTATATTTAATATTCCCTCTATTAGTTTTTTCTTTTTTATTCATTTTCTTCTTCTTTTTTTTGTGCTTGGATTTGTACTTTTTTTTAGTGTCAGATGCCTCAAATCTCTTCTTCTTCTTTTGTTCTCCTCCTCCTTCTCTTTTTTTTAATCTCTTTTTTTTTATTTTTCATTCTTTCATTTTCTTTTTCTTCTTCTTCTTATTATTTTTGTTTTAATTTGGTCCCCGATCAAATAACTTTGATACCATATTAAATTTTTTATATTAAATTTGCTTGCGGATAGTATACACTATTAAAATAGTTTAAGTCATTTGATTAAATATTTTTTAAGTTTATATATTTATAATCTATCATCTAATCTTTAGATGTAGAATTTTTTTATGTTTAATATTTTTTTATTCATTTTCTTCTTCTTCTTGCCCGGGCTTGTACCTTCCTCCTCCTCCCCCCCTTCTTTTTGGTCCCTGATCAAATAGCTCTAATATCATATTAGATTTCTTATATTAAGTTTGCTTGAGGATAGTATACTCCATCAAAATAACTTAAGCCATTTAGTTAAATACTTTCTAAGCTTATATATCTGTGATTTATCATCTAATCTTTAGATGTAGGATTTTTTTATATTTAATAAAACTATCACATAAAATTTAATGTTGAAATTCACCATCGCTAAAAGTTAGATTACTTATTCAAAAGAAACAAATTCAACGTAATATTAGACGACATAATGATATTTAAAATATAAATTAAACTACACAATATTAGCTTGGATACAGGAAAATAATTATACTAAATTTAACGTAAAAATATATAAACAAATAATTATACTGAATTTATCATCTTGTTCCTGTTAATTGCCAATAAAATTATTAATTAAATATTGAATTATTTTAATCTTAAAGTATGCATATTTAATAAAGATAAAGTCAAAAACTTGTTAAATTTTTAAACATAATTAATAAAATTTAAGCTTTTTCTTAATTTTCATGAAAAATGTTGGAAGTAATTAATAAATAAGATGGAAGGAAGTGCAGCATTATTCAGTTTTGAAATGTGTTGATTCTGAATTTTTCAAAAAAAATTGATTTTTTATTTCTTTTACATAAAGATTTTTTTTTTAAAAAAACAATACTATCTAGCAAGAAAGCTTGTGAGGCACCCCTCGCAGTTACTGTATATATATAAACGCCCACAAACACAAATTGAGCACAAGCAGTAGTAGTGTGAGTGTGAGAGGAAAATGGGAAAGAAGAGTACTTCTGAAATTAAGATAGGTGGAGAGACCTCTCTATTCAGCGAGAGAATAAAAAAGGGGGAATGACAAAGAGATTCCTTTAATTTAAATTAAATCTCAAGTGGTAAATTTTAAGAATTTATAATTGAATCTTTTAATTTTACAACTCCATTATAATGAATTTGTAATTTATATTTTAAATTTTAATAAAAAATATTTTTTTTCTATTTTTCAACCATGTTAATTTAAAAAATAAGTTATAAATTTTTTATAATACAATTGTAAAATTGAGAGATGGATTTGTAAATTTCTGGAGTTTGACCCTTGAAATCTAACTTGAATTAATTAATGTTTTTGATATCTCTTTGTTCTTCTCCTCATAAAAAAAGCTCAGAGAGCTTCCAGGTCTGGAGACTGAAGAGCCTTCTAGGAAATCTTCCAAGAAGATAAGAAAGATCTACTTAAGAATTTGGACTTGTTCAAGAACACCGCCATTAACGTAGCAACTCGCTCCAACAGTCCACAACTCTTGAAGGAGTTGCTGGAAATGCTTTCAGAACAAGAATGGTGGGTTGCCTTCACGAAGAAGTCCTGTAAAGGTAACACTCTCCTTCATGAAATCGCGCTGATTTGCAAGGTAGTGGAGATGGCAGATGTTGTACTTGACTTCAAAAGAAGATGCCATGGTTACTCCCCTAGTCAGCGGCTGAGGAGGAGGAGGAGGAAAAGGGAAGGCCATTGTTGGAGAAGAAAAGCTTGAAAGGAGAAACACCACTGTTCATGGCAGCTAAGTAAGGGAACCTGAAGATGGTGACCTATTTAGCTGAAGGAGCAGCAGCAACTCAGCCTCAGAGTGATATGAAAAGTCATCTTCGTAACCATACTCAGACCATTCTTCACGCTAGCATGAATGGCCAATCTTTTGGTAACTATCTTTCTCTTTGCAGTATTTGTTACTCTTATACGAATCTGGGTTGTGTATATTACTTTAATATATACTAGTATATCTTGACTTGTTTATTATGTTGTGAAATGTCAGTTAATCAAGGCTTTTGGCTGTATCATTTTAATTTGAATAATCTGGCTTCACTACATATCACTTTCTACTAATTTTCTATAGATCAAACTGAAAAGAAAATATATTTTAGACTAATAAAGCATCACTTTTTTTGCCTCTTTCTGCACCAAGAGAGAGAGACATACATACATTGATCTGTGGATAATTTTTTTTCAAAAAAAATAATTTTCAAGGTTGTTTGATATATACATGTATATATTTGTATAATTTTAAAAGAAATTCTATTTATATAAATAAAGTAAAAAAATTGTGCCTTTTCTATTTCTAAATTATGGTGGTTGGTTCTTATATATTTTAAAATCATAAAAAGAAATGAAATATAATTAATATTTTGATATATGTAAGTGGGGATTAAAGTAATTTATTGGCTTGTTGATTAAGAGATTCTTTAGCTCACCTTAGGAGAGAATCTTATTACTTGTTCCTACAGTGAGATCCTAGTAATATAGATTCTAATCCTAGGCAAGTGTTGCAGATATACTGAGAGTAAAGATGAGTATATATTTTAAACTTATAAATACAGGCCTTGTAACATACGTGAAATCAACAACACCACTAATGACTGGTCAATTTCTATGCACTTTAATGTGAGTGCAGATGTAACCCTTTGGATAATAATGAGGAAGGATGGGGGCAGTCTACTAATAGAGAGGAATAAAAGTGGGTTGACGTGTCTTCAGCTTCTCGCTAGAATGCCCACTGCTTTTCGAAGCCAGTACCCAATGACATCCCTCCCCAACCTCATCTATAACTGTACCATCTAATCTTTGTGAGTGTGTGTGTGTGTGTTGTGTGAATGCAAATGAATGTGGATCATAATGTAATTCAGATGATGTGTGTGTAGTGCTTCCGAATGAAAGATATGAAATTGAAGGTTATGATAGTTTTGAATTGTTTAGGCCTTCGAGTACAGACTTAGAATCTGGCCACCAACATGATGCTAAGCCGCCGATTTTAGGTACTAATATTTGATCATGAACGCAAATAATATTTAAGTTATTTCTCCATCATAGTTTCTAGAGAATATAATTTTGACCACATAAATGTATTATCTATCTATCTATCTATCTATGTGTGTGTATATATATATATATAGTTATAACTACTTTACTTTTCACTAAAAATAAGACCGTGTTATTGTTCGATCAATAAGTCGAGACTTCAAGCTTAGCATTTCCTTAATGATCAATATTAATCTATCATTGTCTGAGAATAATTAACTGATATGCAGGTCTTTCAAGGATAAACTATGCTGGTTGGAAATATCTGGCTAAAGGTACTAACATTTACATTGCTCAAAAATCAACACACACACGCTCATATTTGAATAAAAGTAATACAATTATCTGAATGCTTGACCAACATGAACAAGCAGTATTCTTGGGG